TTGTTTTATTTTAGCTTATTATTGTGTACCAAATTGTTACTTAAACTTGTTTAACATTTGTGGAAGAATTGAAAATTAGTTTGTGTTGTTGTTTTAGATTATCAAGTGAACAGGTGCAAAATTGTGCTATAGGAGTTGATGATACTGTTAATGATGTGATTATAGTATAAATGGGGTCATATTGCAAATTTGCAATTTTTTCCAAAAATTTCTACATCGCTTGATAGAAAAAACGATGTGAAAGTTTTCTACATGGGTTAAAACCGATGTGAAAGCTTTTCTACATGGGTTAAAACCAATGTGAAAAACCCTATGTTCTGAAAAATCAAAACTTTTCTACATGGCTTATTTTAGACCCGATGTAAATTCTTCCACATCGGTTATAACTAGACAAGGAAAAAGAGAATGGGAGCCTGAGTCAAAAAGCGTAAGTGTTCTGCACAATAAGATGAGACTTGGGTATCTTTCGAAAGAAATGGCGTTCTCGTGCCAACATGACAAGGAAAACTGATCTTAATTAATTAAACTTGGAGGTTATTGCAAAATTAGCATTAGTCCTTCACGTATTACAAGTATACGTCAAAGCACCAATGTGTCGCGACGGTTTATCTTAGTTGTACACCGTGTCTACTCTTTGCATAGGTTTAGGTGATAGTTCCTAATTTGTGTCCTACTAAATTCCTTAATCCGAAAAATAACCCTGAAATTCCTGAATGCATTAAGTTTTTTTCGGATTATTCCAAAACTCTCAAAGAAATGGACTTTTATTCTTTACCATCCACCATTGACCATCGCATTCACAAGTCCTTCTGATCAGTAACTAGTTCATTACTGTTTGCTGCCAATACTTTAAGGATGTTGTGAATAATTTTGTCGTTTAAGTTTGCCAGAGTACAAAGATGTAGTTTAGGGAAGAATTTTCTTGATTTAGTCTCTCTATTCCGTGAACACCCCTTTGACTACGTGTGCATGCTAATTGTTTTAAATTCCGTGTGGTGATTATCGTAAGTCCCGTTGTTCAGTTTGCTTGAGGACAAGAAAAGGCTTAAGTGTGGGGGAATTTGATAAGACCGTATTTAGACACGCATTTGATGCATGTTGGGATCAACTTGTGATGGTTTTCCTAGCTTTAAGGTGTTCCAAGTCTCAATTTTAGCTCAAGTTATGTGACCAGACGTTGGTTCGAGTTTTATGTCTTTTGGAGTCAAAATCAGGGAATTTGAGCCCAACACCGGCGCTTGAGAATCAATCAGGATGATTTGAGAAGCATTCGAGAGTGAATTGAGAGATTGGGAGGTCACCGGGATGTTCACGATGAAGATTTGATGACAAAAGAGCTCTAGAATTGGCTACGGGATCAAAAGAAGACAAATAGAGCTTGAAAATGGCGATCAGGATGACCTTCTGTCAATCGGTCAAGCATATATCTTTGTAGAAGCATACAAAGGACACGATTCAAGTTGCATATGAAATCCAACTTCAAGCTCTAAAAATCATATGAAGACACCATTGCAAGAATCAAAGAGGAAGAAGGTGAAAACAGACGATGAAGTCAGATGATCCCTGTTGCGATTTCAGAATGAGATCTTCCACCATTTTATTCATATCTCTTGATTAGATGCTTCAAATCCAATTTCGAAAAATGTAGTGGATAGAGGACTTCATTATCTACAACTTTTATGAAGGAAATGTTGTCAAATTCGGACTAGCGAAATGGTAAAAAACAGGCCACGCCCGATCGTGCCTGAAGGGACGCACGATCGTGCGTGATAGAGAAATTCACGTGGAGCTACTGGAAGCCAGGCACGATCGTGGAACTACGCGAAAACTTGTCCTATTTCGGATAGAATTGCTCCGTTTTTTCTATTTAAACAGCCTGTAAACCCCCGTTTTCAAGGGGGAGCTTAGAGATAGGCCTAGGGACGAAATTTCTTCTACTTTTCCATCTTGTTCTTCAATTCCCTTGGACTATTTGTAAGTTCCTACTTTTTAATTAATGAAAATTAATTCTATTCTTCCCAATTCTATTGATTCTTCAATTATGAGTTGTGAGTAGTCTTGTTAGGAATATTTTATGGTGTCCAATCTAATTAAATATCTTTGTATTTGTGTAGTTATTAATTAAACGTGTAATACGGACCACAAATGTGTATCAACCCGGGAGCTTCCTTGTAATATGTAAGTTAGCCAACTTCTCCTATAAAAGGAGGCTAACTTACGGGAACCGAAACCAATGTTGAGAGGCTTTAGAGAAGCAGAGGCGTGATAGAGAGAGTAGGGTTTCCACTGCTCTCCTTCTCCAGGGAGAGCAGCGGGGTTTCATACGGTATACCAGATTTGGTTTTTCATCTCATAATCTTCTATCTGCTTCTTCATAAGTGCTATGGTTGTTTGATTGTTTAGTATTTTGGGTTTATCAATTGGTATCAGAGTCGAGACGTGAAACAGGTTGAATGTATCTGCGATTTTCTTGGATCTAACGAAGAATGCTCTGCTTTTCTTCTCTTTTTCTTCATATAGAGTTTTGCTCCTGTAATCTTGTTTGTGAACGAAAATCTGTAAAAATTATATTGTTGGAATCGCATTTCAAAACCGATCCAGCAGCATATCCTCTTTTTCGATTTCTGCAAATTTTCATTTTTCGTAGAACTCTACATGAATTGCGAGTTTATGCTTTTACATGCCTGCAGAATCGATTTTTGACTTGATAAAGATACAGGAGAATCGCGACCTTCAGGGCTATTCAGAACAGTTTTCAGATTCTCAAAATTTGAAGTTTTCATTTTGCAGGCACTCGACATTTTGGGTCTCAACTTCCTAAACTCGACACTTTTGAACTTGCGAGTTTTGGACTTGCGAGTTTTGAACTTGCAAGTTTTAAACCTCGAGTTCTGACCTTGAGTTTTAAACCTCGAGTTCTGACCTCGAGTTTTAAACCTCGAGTTGTGACCTCGAGTTTTAAACCTCGAGTTATGACCTCGAGTTTTAAACCTCGAGTTCTGACCTCGAGTTGTAAACCTCGAGTTCTGACCTCGAGTTTTAAACCTCGAGTTCTGACCTCGAGTTTTAAACCTCGAGTTTTTAAAATTTAGAGTTTAGGAATTGCGAGTTTTGGAATTTCGAGTTTTAGGAACTCGTTGTTTTGGATTTCGACATTTTCTGAAAAATTTCAGATTTTTTTGGAATTTCTCGATGTTTTGAATATTTCAAAATTTGCAGTTTCTTGGAACTCATAATTCGAATCTTGACATCCTTTGCAGTTCATCGAAGCTTCACATTATAGGATTTCTGAATGATTCGCCGCTTATCAAAGTTTTTAGAAGTTTTTGATGTTCTGATGTTTTTCAAACAGCAAGTTTTCGATATTATGAGGTTTTTTAAACTCCAAAGTTTTCGATGTTCCAAACATTTTGAAATTCTGAAGATTTCGTTATTCTGAGGTCTGTTTTGCAGGTGGATTTCGCCATTACTCTTCAAGGCAAACTCGAAATTAAAATCTCGAGATTAGGATTTCGAGTTTTTGCCTTAGATTTTTTTTTTAATTTCACCTGCTCTCGAAATTCAACATCGAGAACCTCAACCTCGAAGAATTTCCTCAAAAACTCAAAATTAGAGATTTTCTGTGACACTACACTGTTTTGGGCATAACTTTTGACTCGGTGATCCGATTTAAGCAAACTTTTTTGTTGGAAAGCTACGGAAAAGATCTGCATTAATTCTAGGGTTAAGCCCAAGAAACCATTCTCACGCGCCCTGAACCAGGGTGTATTGGGTTTAATACTTTAGTGAAATCCATCTGAAATAGGGTGGGACTGGATGTAGGAGGATTACACCACCTCTGATCCAGGATATACTGTGTGTTGATTTATTTTCAGTCAACAAAGCACACACCAAACACCTCTCATAAAAAGATTGTAGTTTGCCAGCAGCATCCTAAGCATTAGTCTTAATTGACCCTACTGTTTATCCTACTGCTTAATAACTCACTTTCTTTGAGACACAAGAGCCTTGAAATATCACCACTATAAGGTTTGTTTCATTAGATTTCAGGAAAACCTACTTAAAGCACAGCAGTTGCCTTGACAGTCCCCTGGTGACTACTCAACTGCTGAGCCCACTGCTCACCCAAAAGTATTTCCTTTGAACATCTAAACTTCACCAGACCTTCACAACAATCTCACCAAGGAGTCTGGTTAAATTGATCTCTGAACCTTAAGCTAAAACCCAGCAGGTGCCTCAGCAGTTCCCTCACTATCACCCAATTGCCGAGACCACTGCTCCAGTAAAACTCCCATTTACTTGTACTAAGGCAGTTATCTTTAAAAAATCATTTGACTGCTTTCCCGATTGAGATTGGTTCTAAAATTTGATATGGATTAACTAGACTTGATGAATAACATACACAAAAAAATTCAACAAAACATCCCACCGGGAATCACCTCAAATTGAGGTGGCCGAACCACCCTTTTGTCATGACGTTCTGACCCGAACCCCCCGCGGACAACACCATCAGAGGGTGTTTCCGGTATAATTTTTTGATGATATTTTTTGAGCATGTTCCTCATCAAGTCTAGTTTATGCATACCAAATTTCAGCTCAAAATTCAATCGGGAAGGTAGTTAAACAAATTCTTGAAACATACTGCGTTTTATATATGTACAAAATGGAACGTGACAGAAGAGCCGCCATTTGAAATGACGGCTTTTGTACTATAAGAGAAGAGCCGTCACTCGGAGTGGCGGCTTTTGTGAAGTAATACAAGAGCCGCCACTTGGAGTAGCGGCTTTCCTTAACCGTGATTATTTTCAGCACTATTTTGGGAATTATTCTTAACTCGACAGTATTTCAGAAATAATTTATTTAATTAGTATTAATTCCGGAAAAAAACTCGAATAAATAGAATGGTTCACTAATTAATTGTTGTCGGGGCAGGCCGGCCCGGCTCGGCCCACCATAACTTGTTCAGCTGTTCAAACACCAGAAATTTCCAATCAAAATATCTTGGTACCAGAAACCCGAATCCAGAACGCCGGCAAAAGCCAGAACTTTTATAAACTACTTCTGGAACGTTCTTGAACCTCATGAAATCTTGCCTTCCCGAAACACATCCCAAAGCTATATCAAGCCTCTCAGATATTTTCTCTGGAACCCCATCTTGACCCTACCATTTTACCGACTCCTGAAATTCAGATTTAACCCCCATTTCACGACCTTCTGTACATGTTGTCAAGTTCTGAGAAGAGTGAAGGCGGATATGGTGACTGGTGGGAAGTTTTCACCTTCTTATTATACCATTCTTGGTGTTAGTGAATGCTCTTCTGATGAAGAATTGCGCCGGGCCTACAGAAAGCTCGCTATGGTACCCTTGCATTTCATTCTTTGTTTAGGACTTGTTTTTATTTTCAGTTTTAATCGATGTGATGAATTTAGTTTTGCTTCTTTGGTGCAGCAATGGCATCCTGATAAGTGGACGAGGAACCCTTCGTTGTTAGGAGAAGCCAAGGTGCGGTTTCAGCAGATTCAAGAAGCCTATGCCGGTTAGTATTGCCCCTCCTGCGGTCCTTCGGAATTTCTCGAATTTAGTGGTGATTCGATGTATATTTGGCTTTGAACAGTTTTATCTGACCCGAGTAGAAGAACCTTGTATGATGCTGGCTTGTATGATCCCCACGAAGATGATGATGATGAAGTTGAGGTTTGTCCTGCTGCGTACAGTTTTTCTTCTTCTTCTTCTTCAGTTATGTTTCCCAGTCATTGAAGCTCTTTTATTGCTCAAATACAAAATTAAAAGCTCAAAAGGTTATATTTTAACTCTGGTTGGGTAAAAAGGTATCAGCTCGTACAGTTATATTTTAGCTCTGATTAAGTTTATGAGTTTGATCTTTTATTATTAATCCCAAATTTTAGTAGGTATTAGAACCTAGTAAGTTTTAAGGAACTATGCAATGTAGATCTCATTCCTTCTATTAGGTTAGAAAGTTTTAAGGGACTATCCAATGTAGATCTCATTCCTTCTATTAGGTTAGACTATTGGGCTAGACCGGATGAGATCTCATGTATCTTAATAAGAATGGATAAAAGCCTATATTTGGTTTGTCAGTTCCTTTAGACACCCTAAGGCTATGTCCGGATCCTGGAAGATGCTAGGCAAGGAAAGAACTTAATTTTGTGTTTAGTTTTTTCTCGAAAATGTGAAGGAAATTAATTAAATGCTTGGTTTTTAGCATACCCTAGATTTTGTACTGCTTATTCAACAGATAATAATACAACAACAACATCCAAGCCTTAGTCCCAAAAGATATTGGGGTTGGCTAACATGAATCGATGCATGATATCACAACCAAAAGGAAAACAAAGAAAATAAAGATAAAAAAGATAAGCTATTATAAAAAGAAAATATAAAAAGAGATGAATATACATAAAAATGATAAAATAAAAAGGATACAAATAATGCTTATATATAATGCTTATATTGAACACAAGGTTTAAAAAGGTGGGTTCGGGTTTCAAGGTGGTTTGTTCCTAAGAGGCGAGGCGTAAGCCTTGAGGCGTATTGAGGTGTAAGCTTGAGGCGCACTTCAGAACCCGCCTCATAAGCGCCTTTTTAAACCATGATTCAACAGATAATAATAAATATTCAAAAATGTATCCAAACAAAAAATAAACAAAATTTTCTATGTTTACTTTCCCTAGCATTATACTAGTCCCAAACGGACATTAACTGTTGGATGCTTTTCCCTGCAGGGATTCGCAAAGTTTCTACAAGAAATGGTTACTCTAATGGGCGATGCTCAGAAGGAGGTAATGAGCAAAAATCATATATTGAGTCATGAGTGTTCTGATTTTGCAGTTTAAATTTGCAATTGCACAATGTTGTCGAATTTTGCTTTCTTTGAACTCTGCATTTATTTCCAAAAAAGATGTCAAGATTTGCAAGGATCCATGACCTCAATTACAATGGCCAGTGTGGGATTCCTTCTTTAATGCAGGGGAGGGGAAGGTTCTGCTTTTGTGATACTGTATTTAGTTTAACCAAATGCGACCCTTTTCTAAAAAAACTCAAACCAAACATGCCCTAAGATGAAGTTTGAATCTTTTGATCCTTTAGGCTTTAGGCGACAGATCTATAACTTAATAATAGTTTTTGGTTGGCAATTAACAGTGGTACGGACTAGATGTGTGTTTAGTAATTGGTAATTCTTCTAGCATTAATTATTCATAGCATCCATTGGTTTGCTCTAAAAACTTAGAAGTGATGATCATTTCTCTTTAACATGGAAGGACTTCCTCCCATATGTGCATGTGCCAGCCGCAGTCCCTACGATTCTGCTTAGAGAAGATTCCCTTGATAGACATAGAAAAAATGCACAAATAGGACTACATTTGTTTTCTTCCTCAAATATAATCTATCCACTCCTAATTGGGGAAGTTTTATACTTTTAATATGACCAAATAAGTCATATTTTGAATAAAACATTAGTAGTCCTATTTGTGCACTTTGGCTATGTTTTAGTATTTGGAGCAATTTCTCTTCTTATTATTAAGAAGAAATATTGAGATGATTTGTTTTCTTTAATGGATGACAAATTTCATTTACTCTATACTGATAATTATAGCCATAAGATATATTTAATAGTTGGTGGAATGATAGTACTTCAAATTTAAGAAATATCAATATTAGAGATATCTGGAAAAACCATGCAAGTTTTTGTAAAAAAAGATGATGCAGAGTAATCGCAGGAAAATGCAATTAGTATTTCTGTTTTATGTGGATGCCCATTCCAAATTGTTGATTCTTTAGTGGAAAATATGTAAACTTTGTCTGTTGGATAAACTGAGGAACTATATTTTTTTGGCTAGTTTCCGTTCATTAGGTATAGGCGTGACCTGTAAAACAGAACCCAAGTAGCAAAAAGGTTGTTGACTGGCGCTCGATTCTCTTGAAATAGAACTCTTCTAAACATCTAGGCTTCATTACTAGACTGAATATGTGTCTCAAGGTTGATTTCTGATGTAATGTTGATTCAGGGTAAGAGTTACAGCATTGAGGAGATTCAAAGCATGTTTGGTGAGATGGCTAAAGGATATGATGTTCCTGAATGGTCCAATCCACCTTTGAACCCAGCTATCTCTTCTGAGTTGTTTTCAGGGACCATGACTTCAAGCATGGCTGAACAGAGTAAAACCTTTTCTTGCTGATGAGCCGCCTTAGGAGTAGAGAAAGTTAAGTGTGTTTTCATTTTGCTCTCATGTTCTATCTGTGATGTATATGCTTTTAGTTTTCTTTCCGCGAGTCCACTGCTCTTGTATACTCGTGCTTTGTGTGAAATTCTAAAAGCTGATAAACAGAGCTAGAAGTTTAGCAGAGCCCAGATTGTCGTCGAATTGTTTGTGTTTAAATTTGCAGAGAGGGAAGCAGGCTGGGCACATAAGTACATAACCATGGCTCGGCAGCTCACCTATTGAGTTGTTCCAATCACCAAGCTGATGAATTTGTAGTCGCAAAGCGATGCGTGGTTTATGAAGATACTTGTGGCAATCTTATAGGAGGGAGGTGTGTGGGTTGTGTGAAGTTCATCATATTGGTACAACCAACCATCATCACGTTTTTATGGTTTCTAATGTCAGGCATGGTGTATTAGTTCTTCTCATGTATTAGAGAGTTGGTGCTAATAATAGAAAGTGTTGTCACTCGTTGGTTGCTTATGGACTAGTCCCAAAACATGGGTTAGGCTTATCACTAAACCTCATGTATAGTTGCCACGACTTAGTTTTATAGAACATGTAGCGATGTTGATCCTCTTCACTCAACCATGTGTTTGTAGTGATTTTCATTCTTTCCTAAATAAAAGCTTATAAAATCAAATTATTGGGATTACTATGAGCCGGTTTGGTGACTCTTATCATCAGTCAAATTTTTCACTGAGCACGTAATTATTTATTTCTTGACTTCTTGCGCGTACGTTGACGCCATCGGAGAGCTGAATCGGCTGCTATTGCTGGGACCTTCTTTGCTGGTGAAATTGCAGTCTCATCTCCGTCGCAGATTCACTCCAGCTATTTTGTTTGTAGTTATCCTGCCGTTCGGGTGATTCGTCGACTTATTTTGACCAACAAAAGTAAAAAACAGTCCACCAAATTCATACACATAAGGAGTATTTAAAGAGAATCAGGTCTCTCTCTATATATATTGAATTTTGGTTCAATATATAAATTTTGGTTAAAGTGAGAAATGCATCTAATGTAAGAAATGAGATTGAATCTCAACCGTTAGATTTACGACATTAGAACCTCGGTTCATGAAAGGGGAGGCTTGGAACCGGTCCGGGTCGGGCTTCGGTTCAATTTTTTTTTTTTTGCTTTTCCTAATTAAACCCCAACCCTCCCCTTCACCCCAAACCAACCCAAACCACCTCAAATGACCCAAAATACCCAGCCCAACCCAAAAATTTAAAAAAAATTCAAAAAAAAAATTGGTCGGGCCGGTTCACCTTTTGAAGGGCCCGTGCCCAGACCGGAACCCCAGCGGGTCGGGCCTACCCGGACCGGTCCTTGGCAGGGCCGGCGGTTCAAACAGTATCGAGCCGGGCCAGTTCCGGGGTGGGCCGCCCGGCCCGAGTCCACCCCTAGACATTGCACCAAAACTGCTTCACGTTGCACTTCATGACTGTAATATGAATTTTTCAAAAAATGCCACTAAACTAGCTTGCATATTTAAGTGCAATATAAGGTGTTTTTACTGCAAAATAGTCGAATTCAATGACTTGTTCTTATTTAAACACACACACAACACATTATTTTTGTATAATATAAAGTAACCGTGAGGCCAAAATTGTGGCCCATTTGAAGAGCATAATTGACAAATTATGAATCTAGGCTTTGGACGTACTGCTATAACAAAAATTGTCTTATATTGAATTCAATAAGAGCATCTCCAATGCTACAATGTGCACGGTGAACATGTGACATGGAAGAGATAGACACAAAAGATTGATTTTATGACATTTCTCTCTCTGTCTTTCCACGGTCTTATGTGTTTTGGTAAGTTTTTCCATGCAATGTCAATCACAATGTCTACATCTAGATATTGTGTTTGACATTGTGAAGAAAAACTTACCAAAATGATATAAGATCCTTCAAATAAGAAGAGAGATATTCTATTTATTGTTTTTTCATTTGGAAGTCGCCTTAGAGATATGCTCAGGGGATTCGGCCGAGAGCTTAGATAAAATGTCGGCCTCGGAGTTTTGAGCCCTCGGTATTTGAGTAAGAGAGTGTGTCTCAAATACCTTAAGCAACTCCTTGGCCGCTTCTTTGTACTGCTTCATCCTTCCTTCCTTGGCTTCGTACTCCCCGGAGATTTGGCCGACGACTAACTTGGAGTCGCACTTGACGTGAATCTGTCGGGCCTTCATGTTAGCTGCCAGCCGAAGGCCACAGAGGAGGGCCTTGTATTCGGCTTCATTATTGGAGACTTTGAGGGAGACGCAGACTGCATAATAGGCCCGGAAGCCTTCGGGTGAGATGAGAACCACCCCTCCTCCACATGCCTTGACGGCGGAGGAGCCATCGGTGTAGAGGGTCCACCAATCATCCGAAGGGGCCGAGGGCTCCTTGTTCATGGCTGATCTTGCTGTACATTCCGTCACAAAGTCCCTAGGGCTTGGCCCTTGATGGCGGGCCTAGGACGGATGTCGATGTTGTATTGGCTCAGGAAGACAGCCCATTTTACCATTCGGGAGGAGCTGGTGGGGCTCCTCATCAAAGCGCCGAGGGGTTGGTGAGTGAGGACCTGGACCGGGTGAGCTTGGAAGTAGTGGCCCAACTTCTTGACAGTCCACACGATAGCCAACACCGTTTTTTCCACAAGGGAATACCGGAGTTCTGCTTCCCTGAGGGTCTTGCTAACATAGAAGATGGCATGTTGGATGCCATCCTCTTCCCGGATGAGTACTGAGTTGATGGCTGCCGGGCTAACACCCAGGTACAGGTATAAGGTCTCCCCCACCTTGGGTTTAGAGAGCACAGGGGGTGAAGACAAGTACCGCTTAAGTTCTTCGAAGTCCCCCTGGCACTCTGAAGTCCACCGGAAACCGGCGATCTTTCTCATGATCTGGAAGAAGGGTAAGGACTTCTCTGCCGACTTTGATAAGAAGCAATTGAGGGCTGCCAAGCGGCCCGTCAATCGTTGGACCACCTTCACGTTGCGTGGGGGCTCCATGTTGATGATGGCCTGGATCTTCTCGGGGTTGGCCTCGATGCCCCTTCGGCTCACCATGTAGCCCAGGAATTTGCCCCCTTGTACGCCGAAGGTACACTTCTTCGGGTTTAGCCGAAGGTTGAACTTTTGCATGATGACGAAGATCTCCCTCAGGTCGTCAGCATGGCTTGCTGATTGCTTGCTTTTGACGATCATGTCGTCAACATATGCCTCCATGGTGTGCCCTAGGACAGCCTGAAATACCCTGGCCACCATCCGAGTGTAGGTGGGGCCTGAGTTCTTTAGGCCGAAGGCCATGACAAGGTAGCAGAAGATGCCCTCGGGAGTCATGAAAGGCCGTTTTTTCAGCGTCTTCCTCATGCATAAATATTTGATGATAGCCGCGGAATGCGTCGAGAAATGACATGATTTCACACCCCGCGGTTTCATCTACAAGTTGATCAATATTCGGCAAAGGGAAGGGGTCCATGGGACACGCCTTGTTGAGATCCGTGTAGTCCATGCACATGCGGAATGAGGGCGGTTTTTGTGCGAGGACTACGTTTGCCAGCCATGAGGGTTACTTTACCTCCTTGATGTGCTTGATAGAGAGGAGCATGGCGACCTCCTTCTTCACAAATTCCTTCCTCTCGGCCGAGAGGGGTCTCCTCCGCTGTTGTACTGGTTTGGCCGAAGGGTCCACCGAGAGGCGGTGGGTGATGACCCTTCGCCTGATCCCCGGCATGTCCTCCGCCCCCCATGCAAAAACAATGGAGTAGGCGCGGAGGGCGCTGATGATGCCGGTCTTCAAGTCTTCGGGGAGCTTGGCTCCAATCTTCACGACTCTCTCCGGCTTGGCCGGATCGAGCGCAAAGTCTTCTACCTCCTCGGCTGGTTCAGCCCTCGGCCTCCTTTCTTCCGCTTCCACAGTTCCGGTGATGGTGTCGACGCGGAACTCCGTCTTGCTAACATTCTTTGTCACTTGAAAGTAGCAAGCGCGGGCAAGTTTTTGGTTCCCCCTTGAGTAACCGATTCCCCCCTCGGCTGGGAACTTGAGGCAGAGGTGCCTCATGGAGATTACGGCTTCGAGATCCTCGAGGGCTGGCCGGCCGAGGATGATGTTGTGGGAGCAGTCGATGTTGACGACAACGAACTCCACCTCGAGCTTGGCTCTATGGAGCCCGTCGCCGAAGAGTACCGGGAGGGTTATAACCCCCTCAGAATCAATGGTGTCACCAGTGAAGCCGGTAAGAGGGGTCTTGATGGGCCGAAGGGACCCCCTCTCCAGATGCAGCTCTCTGAAGGTACTGAGGTACATTACATTGACGGAGCTGCCCGTGTCAATGTAAGTTCGGTGAATAATAGTGTCATTGATCTCTATGCGGATGACGAGGGCATCCCTGTGTGGGGAGGACACTGGGGGGAGATCAGCGTTAGTGAAGGTAATGGGTTCCTCCCTCAGCCGCTTTACTGGGGGCATATGAGTGACTTCCCCCACGTAAAGTGATTGAGCCCACTTCTTTCGTTGACTTGTAGAATCACCCCCGGTATTGCCCCCTGTGATCATGAGGATGTGGCACTTCTTTTCTTGGTACCGGGGGTACTCCTCCTCCTCTTCTTCCAGGTTCCCAATCTCCCTCTTCTTGCCGAGGGGGATGGTGTTGGGGTTGACCCATGCATTTGCTGTAACACCCCAAAATTTCCCGCCCAAAACATTAATATATTTAAAAGAAATACTTTAATCATTCATCAAAGAGTTGAAGAAATACAGCGGAAGTCTAAAAGGAAAATGGGTGTTACCGCCACATTCGGTCATCTCTTAACCGAATGCACAGGCAACTCAAAGTAAAACAATAAAAACTAATGTAATAATAAGTAAATGTTAATTTCATGACTAGATTTAACTAAGGCATCTTCTAATTCGCACTCAAGCTCGAGCAATCCATCAATCCACATAGGCATCCAACTCATCACCTGATAAAATTTAAGGGAGAAGAGAGAGACAAGCGAAATAACAAAAATTAGCTTTAGAGCTAAGTAAGTACTACCCAACCCCGTAAAATAATCAGGTTTGACGAAAATAGATTTTTATATAATATCATATAAAAATGACGCACTCCATCAAAATACTTTTCTCCTTGATTTTTCTTAAAATCACTTCTTTGCTAAAATCCTAAACTTCTCTTGGAAAATCTCTTAGTAATTCTTCTCTTTAAACTTCTTAAGAAAATCACTTCTTCTCTAACTTCCTAGTAATTTAGAAGGGCGGTGCTTATCCGGATGTGGAAAAACCGACACCTCGGATTACTCCCGAGATGCTCACTTCTTATGAAAATGTAAATTTTATCTTCGCTTAATAATACTTCAAAAATACTTCTTAATTTCTCAAAAACATCTCGAAGGTATTTAAAAATATTTAATACCCCAAAAGTACTTGATTTATACTTCTTAACTACTATATATATAATATCTCCTCAAAATCACATACACAAAGTTTACAATTCACACTTAATCACATAACGCATAATAAGCATATAATACGAGGAAACAATTTTGGATTGGCAGAGAAACTTACCTTAAGTCCTGTTGCTCCTAGTTATCCTCTTCTAATCCGGTCTCTAGATAATCACCTTTTTAATTAAATATGATAAAATTAGTCACTTATTCTATTTGTAATT